TCTTATAATTTTATTGAACCTAACATCAAATCAAATTTATTAATAATAGTAAGGGGGAGGCAGATTTTCTTTTTTGTTGAGAAGTTGAAGCAAGTCAACCAACCATATGAGGAAATGCACCAAACCCTAACCATAATTCAATTATAACTAAACAATGAGAGTCACTGGGGTCCAACCCCATGGACACCTATGACCTGCCCAAAGTTTAAACCATTTTTTTTATAGACCAAAACGTGAAAGTTGGAAACTTTTATCCTCTTTCTTATAACCTGTATTAAACAATAAAGAAAAATCGAAGTAGAACTTCAAATCTTTTAAGTTATTTTTAGGACGAGCTTTAACCATTCAGTCATGTTACTTGTTGGTAGCCAAAAGCACATGCTGGATGGACTCCATTGCATTCCGATTTAGTCAATGTTTATCGACGCTTTTTGCTATTATACCTTGTGAAATTCAGCAAATCTCTTCTTTGCTTTGATTTAAACAATTCTATTTATTCGATTGCTGCTTTTGTTACTTTGTGCAATTAGAAAACCAACAAAAAAAGAGAAACACCGAAAATTGGCAAAATACCAAAATCTAATTCTGGATGCAAATTTTCAGTTTGGTTTCATTTTTAGAAAATACCAACTTGGTGTGGTTCAACCGGTTTAACCCGGATCAGGATAACCATGTGCAAGGTCCCCATCACTACCATACAAAAAAAAGTCTCCTGCTTCATGTTAAAAAAATAAGGCTAGTGCTAAGTGGTTGCACCAAAATCATCTAAGTTTCCTTTGATTCCAACTTCACAATTGACCCAAAATCAACCTGACCCCATCACACACTCTGTATATAAACCCACCCCTCATTGTCATCTAAACACACAGATTAACCTTCACACTTCTTCACTCAGAAGTGTTCAGAAACAAGCTCAAAACCTCAACACAAGATCCCATGATGTCGATATCTCGATCCAGCCTCCTTCTGAGCCTTCTGCTTTCTCTTGCTTTTACTACAATATTCGCAGAAACACATAACTATGAGTTCAAAGTACGCTCTTATATTATACAGTGCACCATCCATCGTCTTCATATACCTTTTATTATAACTAATATTCATGTTAATTTCAACAGTTGATTATGATCGTAATTACTTTGATTTTCACGAACAGGTTCAAGAACAAGCAGCAACAAGGCTATGCAGAAACCATAGAATAGTTACAGTCAACGGACAATTCCCCGGCCCCACAATAGACGTACAGAATGGAGACAGTCTTGCTATCAAAGTCACCAATGCTGCTCCTTACAATGTCACCATCCATTGGTAAGTATTTTTACTCTTATCATTTACGTGTTAATTATTCTTCATCATTAATTAATTTATTTTGCTTTTGAGACTCTAATCAAATGGTTCGTTGTTTTCAGGCATGGATTGCGTCAACTGAGAAACCCATGGGCTGATGGGCCTGAATTTGTGACCCAATGTCCAATCCGACCCGGAGGAAGCTACACATACAGGTTCACCATAACCGATCAAGAGGGAACATTGTGGTGGCACGCTCATAGCAGGTGGCTACGAGCTACAGTCTATGGTGCACTTGTGATTCGTCCAAAGTCGGGTTCTTCATACCCCTTCCCAAAACCCACAATCGAGTTTCCTGTTCTTCTAAGTACGTAAAATTCATGTCCTTTGGGCTTTGCGATTTACGCAATTTTCTGATTCAACCGAACTGTTTTTAACTTTGTTCATTGTTGACGATGAAACAGGTGAATGGTGGGATAGAAAGGTCATCAGTGTCCTCCGACAAGCGTTGTTCTCTGGTGCAGCTCCAAACATATCAGATGCTCTCACCATTAACGGACAACCTGGCGATCTTTTCCGATGTTCAAGCCAAAGCACTACCAAACTAACTGTCAACAAAGGCGACACAGTTCTTCTGAGGGTCATCAATGCTGCACTCAATCAACAACTCTTCTTCAGCGTCGCTAACCACAAACTAACCGTGGTTGCCACTGATGCTGTTTACACCAAACAGTTTACAACGAATGTAATCATGGTTGGCCCCGGTCAAACCACGGACGTCCTTTTGACCGCAGATCAGCAGCCTGGGCGCTACTACATGGCTTCACGAGCTTACGCAAGTGCTAGAAACGCTCCGTTTGATAATACAACAGCCACTGCCATCTTGGAGTACAAATCTGCTAATTCACAGCCGATTTTACCTCAACTTCCGGCTTACAATGATACAAACACAGTCACTGCTTTCTCCAACCAAATAAAGAGTCCTGGAAAAGTAATGGTTCCAACTAAGATCGATGAAAACTTGTTTTTCACGATGGGGTTTGGGTTCTTTAACTGTACTCCTGGACCTAGATGCCAAGGGCCTAATAACACACGCTTTGGTGCTAGCATGAATAACGTATCATTTGTGCTTCCGAATCGGGTGTCTTTACTCCAAGCTTACACACAGAAGATTCCAAACATCTACACACCAGACTTTCCGCGTGTTCCACCTTTGCAATTTGATTACACCGGTAATGTCCCTCGTGGGCTGTGGCAACCGGTTAAGGGGACGAAGCTTTACAAGCTCAAATTCGGGGCTAATGTGCAGATTGTGCTGCAAGATACTTCAATTTTCTCAACGGAAGATCATCCTGTTCATCTCCATGGATACCATTTCTACATCGTTGGTCAGGGTTTTGGTAATTTTAATCCTTCCAGAGATACTGCCAACTTCAATCTTGTTGATCCGCCACAAAGGAATACAATTGACGTACCAGTTGGAGGATGGGCTGTCATCAGATTCGTAGCTGATAACCCAGGTAAATGAAACCCACATGAATATATGAATCTTTAGTTGGAAAAACACAATATTTCTCTTCTGAATGATTATGATTTTTAGAATTAATTAAAAACATGTATGGAGCTAATACTGGGATCTTTACAGGAGTTTGGCTGATGCACTGTCACATAGATACTCATTTGGCTTGGGGTTTTGCAATGGCTTTCATAGTTGAAAACGGAGTTGGGGAATCAGAGACGTTGCTGCCTCCTCCTTCCGATCTGCCTAAATGTTAAGATCATCACAAGATGTCTTCGTTGGTGTGGCTTTTGCTTTTTTTTTTTTTTTTTCTTTTTTTCTTTTCCACTTTGCTTAATTACTGGAGCAAAGCACATAGTGTTCATAGGTTTCACTTTCATCATACCTGCTTATACTATGCATTCTTGTGTGTAAGTTCCTTTGTTCTAAGGAAACGATAGAATTAATGATGCATCATCAGTTGATATACAGAAGTTGATGTCTTCTTGTACACCAATTAGTTAAAGCTACAATGATTTGCATTCTTGTTTATTTAGCTTTTGATCAAACCACAAAGAAAAAAAAATTGCACATTAATTTTTATTATATTTGTTTTTGATCAGAGACAACATATTACATCAAGGCCCTAGTATACATTAAACTAAATAAAAAAAGTCTATAAAATATTTTTTTAACACACCCCAGCGGTCCAAGCTGTAATATTGCAACAATCTGGTGATGAAGTTCCATTCCTTTCATATTTAACATTTAGTGCGTCTCACACACCTGAAAAATCATAACAAATATATATGGTTAAAGGAATTAGCATTTGATACAGACCAAAAAAATGCCCAAATGTTGACATAAAAAACTTAGGATTTCATGCTTACATGCCTTCCCCTTCCCCAAGCCCTAACGTTTTCTTAGTTGAAATGCCAAAGTAAACCGTTGTGCAGTTTAGGGAGGGAATTGTAAGTCTTTAATGGCTATAAAGACTTTGTCTTTAGCTGATTTGAACAAATCGCTAAGTCATATATAGGAGTATTTGCTATGTATTAGTTCTTTTCATTTTTACTTATATACTTGGGGCTCTAAACGAACCAAACCAACACGAATGGGGTTTGTTCATGTTTGCTCGTTTAAGTTAACCGAATAAATGAACGAACACGAACGGTTAAATGAACGAGTTTTCTTGTTCATGTTCGTTCGTTTAACAAATTACATTGTTCATGTTCGTGAACATGCTAAACGAACATAAACGAACAAAGATAAAAAAACATATATGAACATATAATATAGTAATGTAATCAAACACAATTAAACATATATAAAGATAAACGAAACTTCTATGAACGAACATAAGCAAACGTAAACGAACAATATCAATGAACGTTCACAAACATATTTGAACGAACGTGAGCATTGTTCATGTTTGTTCGTTTAACTAAACGAACGAGAATTTTTGTTCATGTTCGTTCATTTATTAAATAAACGAAACAATTCACGAACAATTCGTTGAACGTTCAGGTCGTTTACAACCCTATATATACTCAATTTGCAATAAATCCACATGTGCTAATAGGATTTTTGCATCTGATTCTTGAAATTTGACATTGTATAATGCATAAAAAATGATTGTCATATTTGGGATATGCAAGTCATGTTTGATTTTAGCTCCAAAATTAACTCAAACCATGAATAAGCCGCTACACGAAATTATGGCTCTTATATTCTTTTTAAATTTAATTATTGATTTTTGTCTGAACAAGTAAAATACTGCCATACCAGTTTCAAATCCCAAATCAAAGTATGGTGATATCAAGGAGAAAGTACCTTTTAATAATTGAAATTCTACCAAATCAACACATCCTAAAAGAGACAAAGTCTCTTTGGAGCAATCCCAAGTTCAAGGGTCCTTAGCTTTGAATACCCGAGGTCAATAAATCTGAGCTTGTTAAGAACCTGGAATAAGCGTAAAAGGAAGATAAATATTGGTGTGATAACAAAGTCATGGACGAAATGAATTAAGCAAAACAATCAATCAACCATAATTATACTTTTCTTTCTCTCTCCCCCCCCCCCCCCCCCCAAAAAAAAAAAAAAAAAAAAAAAAAATTTGTACAATTCGGCTTGTATTCCATATTAAGTGTAACAAGATTATTTTCTTGAAATGTTTCGGGTAATGACCTAAAAGGGTAATAGTCCCACCACAAGATTCTTAAAGCATTAGGAAAGTATGGGATAATTCATCACATTTCCAATTCCAGAAAGAATCTTTGAGAGACATGCAAAGATATCTAAGTTCCTTCATCTTTCTAAGGCCTTTCATGATAATTCCCGGATTGAGTTCCCGTGTGCTGAATTGTATATATCTTGTTGCTTCAGTACCCTGTAATGCAAGAGCAACCACAATGAGATTAATTTGTGTCCTAACAAATGAAAATGTGTTAGTTTTCTCCAACTTAAAGATTGACTTGATCCTTACCAAGTCATTAGCCAATATATCTTCAATTTCCATGTCAATCCACAGTCTGCTATGTTCACTAGGCTTATCCAGGTGCAAACGATGGACAATATTCCTACCTATTTCCACAACTTTCAAGTGCTTCAATTACTAAGTGTTTTTGCTCACCTTCCAATATGCATGCAATATTTCTTTGTAATCCTCCTCTAAATTGATATAACTTAGTTCTAATTTTTCCAGAGTTTCCATTAATGAAATTGCTTTTAGTCTTTCCATGACATCTATCCATTCAAGCTCACTTTTACCACAAAGAAAGGATCCCAAAACTTTGATTGTTAAGGGAAGACCAGCAACATAACTTATAACTTGTCCTGATTGCTCTTCGTATCCTTGAATTGACATCTCTATCCCAAATGCATAAGAATATTAAGAGGGTGGCACATCATCAATTAGTCAAAGTATCCATTTCTGTTGGTTTTGACTTTTAAGTTGACTTGTGTTCCATGATTATGTGTTGATATCCAAGATTACATATCCATTAAGCAACTAAGATGAACAAAGAGTATGACAAATGAAGCTGCAGTTACCTTAAATCCCATGATTGTGATTATTATTTTATTTCTGGTTTGTTTTTAGTCTTAAGTGCAAATGACATTGCTATGGCTAATCTTAAATTGGATATTATTCTGAACAACAACAGTGCTGCTCATATTATTATTACTCTCCTGATTGGAGCTTCTGTTTGAGAAGGTGGAGGAGCCTACTCTGATGCCACCACCAGAATTTGTTTGTTTGCTCTTGATTGTAACAATTTATTCTTTACAGCCAAAGCCATCGATTCACCTGCAAAAGTTCATCAAGTTTTAGACTATCCCTTTGCTTTATTATACTTGACTTTGATGCTTATTATTTGAAAAGGGGAAAGAAGTAGCAACCTACTTTCAGCTATTAGTAGAGGAACTTGGAAACACCACACCAGATGAAAGCACATGTGCCTCACCAGTCTAGTTGCTGACATTAGAGGGAAAGTTCTCATCCAAGTCCTGGTCTACACTAGCACCATCCAACTGATGGGTACTTCTCAAATTCTCTAAATTAGTATTATCTAGTAACGTACTAGAAGGCATTGACTCATCAGAGGAAAATAGATCATCTAAAATGACATCCGATTTATCTGTCAAAGATGAATACTTTTAGGTTGAAAGGAAACACAAATTCATAAAACTTTATATCCCTGGAAACAAAAACAAGATTTGAATCAGGACTTAAAACCTTATAACCTTTTGTATCAAAAGCATAACCAAGACATATGCATTTATCAGCTCTTTTAGAAAACTTATCAGAGTTGTTCAGCCTAGTTGCAAAACACAAACAACCAAAGACTCTATGTTTATCAAAAACATGAATGTTATTATAAACGAGTTCATAAGGAGAAGCTCCATTTAAAACAGATGTAGGAGTTCTATTAATAAAAATTACAGAAGTTGAAATTGCTTCTCCCCAATATTTTAGAGGTAAACCAGATTGAAACATCAAAGATCTAGCAACATTTAAAATATGTTTATGTTTTCTTTCAACAACTCCATTTTGTTGTGGAGTGTGAACACAAGATGTTTGATGCAAAATACCTTTTGAATCCATTAATTGTGTCATTCTATAATTCAAAAACTCAGTTCCATTATCTGACTTAATAGTTCTAATTTTAACTCCAAACTGATTAAGTAAAATATTAAAGAAAATAAGAACACAACCATAAACTTCATCTTTTGATTTTAACAAATAAACCCATGTGGCTCTAGAATAATCATCAACAATGGCTATAAAATATCTAAATCCTTTTGTGGTTGTCACTCTATAAGGTCCACAAACATCAAAATGAACTAACTCACCAAGTTGTTGACTAACAGGAAAAGATTCTCTAGTTTGCTTAGCTTTATGACATACATTACAAGGTGGAAGAGTTTCATTACTAAAGTTAAGTTTAGTTTTTAAAGACCTTAGAGCTTGATCAGAAGGATGACCAAGTCTATTAAGCCAAGTTAATTTGGACACACAACAAATAAAAGCAGAGTGATTAATACTACAAGAATTACCTGAAGGTACACTATTAATGTAATAGAGACCCCTAGATTCTCTACCATTCCCCACCATCTCCTTTGATTGTAAACCCTGAATTTTACAACTATGTTCATTAAAAACAACATCATAATTAATGTCTTTACAGACTTTATGAACAGACAACAGGTTAACATTAAAATCAGAAACAACAAAAACATCAAAAAGAGTTAAAGAATTAGACAAATTTATATTGCCAATTTTTTCAATTTTAGCTGAAGTACCATTAGGATGACTAACAAGAAGATCAAGCTTAGATACATCCACAGTGTCATAAAGAAGAGACTCAGAAGCAATCATATGTTGATTAGCTCCTGAGTCAACAATCCATTTTTGATAATTAACAGATGAGTTAAAAGCTTGAAACAAGCAAGTACCTGCCATATTAGCACTACCAGGTGCTTCCTCATTAACTTGTCTATCACCAATGAGTTGTAAAAATTTGAAGTATTGCTCCTTAGTGAGCTGATGGAATTCTGATTCTCCACAAGAATTAGAGACACTATAAGTAATTGTACTACCTAAGGTAGTAGTAGAGGAATTGACCGAAAAATTCTTATTAAAACTATTTTGATTATTAGACTCATTCCTTGGCTTGAAATCCTTAGGATAACCAATTAGCTTATAACATTTGTCTATTGAATGACCCTTAATTCCACAATTCTTACACTGAACATGTTGATTTTTATTTTTATTAGAGTTATTAGAACTTGATCTGTTATTAAATCTAATGTTAAAGGCAGTAGACTGAGACTTAGTTAAGGACTATGAAGACTGAAGAGAAGACAAAGAACCATTTCTTTAAAGAGATTCTTCCCTTGAAACAACAGAAAAAGCAATTTTAACATTAGGTAAAGGTCTCATTAGTAAAATATGACTCTTTACTTGACTATAGGTTTCATCAAGTCCATATAAAAACTACATAAGTTTCATGAGATTAGAATGATCTTTTAGTTTGACAGAAGCCTCACAAGTACACTCAGTCAAGCTAGTAAGACCATCAAATTCCTTTCACTAGGAATCAAATTTATTAAAATAATGTAACAAGGAAACCCCATTTCATTTAAGAGAATTGATCTGTTGATGTATAATAAACACAATTGAACCATCTGACTTATTATATGTTTCAAAAAGATTATTCTAAATATCCTCAGCCACCTCAGAGTCAGCTTGATAATATTTTATTAAATACATATAATCACATGTAGTTATATGTATCTGATCACATATGATTTACGTAGAGAATATTCATTTTTGCATTCTCGATTCACTAGTTTTTTCACGTGTATTTAATCACATGTTATTATATGTATTTAATAACATATAATCATATGTGACTCGATACATATAATCACATGTGATTATATAAAGAGAAAACCTAATGAATAAAAAACACAATAACAAATCTTTGTAGGTGAAGGTGGGGGTGGTGGCGACGGGTGGTGGAGGCAGGGTGGTGGTGGTGTGTGGTGATGGGTGGTGGGTGGGTGGGTGGTTGCAAGTGGTGGTGATAGTGACGAGTGATGGTTTTGGTGGGTGGTGGGTATCGGTGGTGGAGGTGGGTGGTCGTGGCGAGTGGTGCTGGATGGATGGTGACGGGTGGTGGTGATGGTTGTGGTGGGTGGGTGCTGGGTGGTGTTGTTGGCGGGTGGTAGTGGGTGGTGGATAGTGATGGTTGGTAGGTAGTGGTTGGTGGTGGTGGATAGTGATGGGTGGTGGTGGTGGTTATGGTGGGGGGTATGGGGTGGTGGTGAGTGGTGATGGGTGGTGGTGGCGGGTGGTGGTAGTTGGATGGTGATGATGGTGGTGAGTGGTGGTTGGTGGTGGTAGGTAGTAATGGGTGGTTGTTGTTGGTGGTGGTTAGTGATGGGTGGTGGTGGTGGGTAGTAGTGGTGATGGGTGGTAGGTAGTGGTGGGTGGTGGTGGTACGCGGTGGTGATGGGTGGTGGTGGTTGGGTGGTGATGGTGGTGGCGGGTGGTGGTGGTGGTAGTGGGTGGTGGTTGGTGGTGGGTGGTGGGTGGTGGGTGGTAGTTGGTGGTGATGGTGGTGGGTGGTGGGTAGTGATGGGTGATGGTGGCGGGTGGTGGTGGGTAGTGATGGGTGGTGGTTGGTGGTGGTGGGTAGTGATGGGTGGTGGTGGCGGGTGGTGGTTGGTTGTGGTGGGTGGGTGGTGGTGGGTGCTGGGTAGTTATAGGTGGTAGGTAGCGGTTGGTGGTGGTGGGTGGTGACAGGTGGTGGTGATGGGTGGTAGGTAGTGGTTGTTGTTGGTGGTGGCGAGCGGTGGTGAATAGTAGTGGAGGTGGGTGGTCGTGGCGGGTGGTAGTGGTTAGGTGGTGATGGTGGTGGGTGCTGATAGTGGTGGCGGAGGTGGTGGGTGGTAGTCGGTGGTGGTGGTTAGTGATGGGTGGTGGTGACGCGTGGTGGTGGTGGGTGGTGTTGGTTGAGTGGTGAGTGGTGTTAGTTAGTGAGTTTTTTAATTGTTTGTAATTATTTTTTGATTTATATGAATATTATTTTATAATTTTAATTAAAAAAAATTATGTTTTTCAAATTTGTTCTTATATGTTCTCGCGATAAGAAATGTTGGTGAGTGGTGGTGGTGGGTGGGTGATAGTCGGTGGTGGTGGTTAGTGATGGGTGGTGGTGACGCGTGGTGGTGGTGGGTGGTGTTGGTTGAGTGGTGAGTGGTGTTAGTTAGTGAGTTTTTTAATTGTTTGTAATTATTTTTTGATTTATATGAATATTATTTTATAATTTTAATTAAAAAAATAATGTTTTTCAAATTTGTTCTTATATGTTCTCGCGATAAGAAATGTTCTTCATCCGAATCCATAAACAATCTGTTATTTTGAAAATACATAACAATTATATTAACAACATATAACATAAAAATTCATCCAAAACATCAAGTCATTCATATCGTATAAAAATCTCGCAATGCAAAACATCAAGTAATCCAAAACGTCAAGTAATCCAAAAAAAACCATCTAGTTCAAACCAAACATCAAGTAATCCAAAAAAAAAAAAACCATCTAGTTCAAACCAAACATCAAGTAATCAAAAAAAAAAAAAAAAAAAACCATCTAGTTCAAACCAAACATCAAGTTATCCAAAAAAAACCATCAAAACATTCAAAAAATCTTCTTAGCGAAACATTCCATAATGTGTTCCAACAGTCTTGACCCAATTCTCACAAATAGCTGGATCAATGGTTAACCACACTTGCCTCTTATCCGCACCTTCACCAAAACGAGCAACAACAATAGTGTATCTTGGATCAAATATT